AAAATGTAAATTAATTCAAATTAATTTAAAAAGAAGCTTGAATCTAAGGGATTTTTTTTCGTATTTTAGTTAAAAAAAACTGATATTACAGATGTCTCTATTTTTCCTTTTATTGCTATTTTATCCGTGAGCCACCCCACAGGTTCCAACTGTCGATCAGCTAAAAAAGGATTGTTTTTCGCCTTGTAAAAAAATGATATCACAGATGTCTCTCTATTTGCCTCTTACTGCTATTTCATACAAGAGGCTTGTCAGTAGGTTACGCACTTTGAATGAGCAAACGCTGACGAGTCCTTATGTGTTTATTGAGGGAAGTTTTAGTCATCGACGCTCAGCTTGTGCTGTTTAAACGAAATATTTCTCGTTGCCAGTTGCCTCAGTACAAGAAAAAGGAGACGAACACAGAACAATGTCGACGACAACGTTCACTAGCGGTGGAACACAGACGAAAACATCTGAAGAACTGCTATGCACCCCATCTTTTGGAGGTGGATTACATCAAAGATTTACTTTTTTCTCAGCAGTGCACATTCTCCTCTCCATCACAGCATTCCTTAAAAATTCTCTCATCCTTGTTGCCCTTCACAAGGAATCTTCCCTCCACCCGCCGTCCAAACTGTTGTATCGTTCTCTGGCAACAACCGATCTGTTGGTTGGTCTTGTTTCCCAGCCACTCTATCCTACTTATTGGATGTCCTTGGTTCAGGAACACTGAAGCCTTTGTCGATACGCATTTGACGCAGCCTACATCACTGTGCGGCGAGGTTTTGATAATTCCTTAGCATACGTCCATTGATTTTCGACCCACTTATAAATTGGTTTGTTCACTTCAGTATTAAGATGTAACCGTTGTGATTAAAGGAGAATTTTGACAATTGCCCCAGAGCATCGCAAAATTACCTGCCGTTTACATGAGAGCTTTCTTGATAGAAAAAACTTTTATAATCTCACTAACAAGACGATGGAAGAAAGAAAATTAGATCATAGAGTCACTAGGCTAACTTTTCTTCTTTATTGTTTACTATTGTCTTCAATAAAGGGAGGATATTTCAATATAATAATGGGCACTTATATGACATCTTATCTTGATGTACTACTTGTTTCATCATTTAAAAAGGTGACAAAAAAGGTTCTCCTATCGTATTTTCAAACAGTAATATAGCCGATGTCTATTTGTTTGTCGACAAAATTACCTTTTAGTGCTAATTTGTACTAAAACTGAAATTCTTTGAGATTAAAAACTTGTCGCAGCCTACCCAAACTCTTTAGAATTTTGATCAGCTGCATAAATTGAAAATTTTCTGGATAAACTCCTACTCTGTATTAAAGAATTGGATGAGTTGTTGGTTTGTCCATTAGCAATTTTCCCGTCCAAAAATAAAACAATGGATCTAAAGTTGATATATAAATATATATATATATATATAAACTTATTTTCGAAAATGTTGCTAGTTGAAAAAATATTTTAAATAGTCTGTATATGTAAATATATGTTTTTTTCTTTTCTCATCACAGTGTCTCTTTTTGATACGAAAAGAAAGATATATTTATTTGATATATATTTTCAAATTTGAAAGGTTTTCAAAACGGGTATTTACATATATGTATATCGTCGAAAGAAACATTATCATGTAAACGAGGCCTGATACAAGTCCGAATCTGTCGTGGCAAGCAGGTGTAGCACGTGGCAGTTTTAGAGAGTTTGAAATGTGGGTCAGGGTTGGTAAAGACGAAGCTTCTCTTAGAACAATTGTAAATTTTTTATCGATTATTGATAAGGTTTGAGCGCCCATCTCTTCGTTTTCCATTTCGATTAATATATTATCCTGTTTACTTCATTATTGGGAACTAATTGTCATCACCAAAGGAGAGTCGCTAATTGCCTAAGAGAATCACAGGAACAAAAATTTGAATAACTTTTCTTTTACGGTTGCACAAAATAGTTTGCTGGTGTGATAACTTGATCCTGTCACTATTTTGTTTTTAGTTCTCGTCGGATACGGAAAGGAGAGAAAAAAAGTTACAAAGTGCAATAAGATACACAGCTAATTTAAAATATTTTGAAACAAGTTTGTATGTGTTGCCGTACATTAATTTTGAATGGTGGTGTAGTCTACGTAGTACATTTGGTGATTGTCACGAATTCAATTTTTCTCCCAGAACAATTGACATCGCCAGCTTGAGCTTCTGCATTTTTAGCTTTCCGTAGCTGATAGTAATTCAAGTCTTAACTTCACACGAAAGGTATGGACCCTTGACTAGCATCCTACTATAATTGAATTTGAGTTTGGTAAAGAGCGACTTTGTTATTTGCCTTTTATTGCTATTTCATAACAGAGGCACCCAAAGGTTTCCGGGAAAAAATATATATTTTTTGACCTAATATGCATTTTAAATGAGTAAGTCTTTACGCGATTGTTAGTTAGGAAGTTAGGCTTCAGTAATCATTGCTGCCATTTTTCGTTGCAAGAACAGAAACCTACAAGAAAAGGGAAACGCCGAAGACATAACTATGTCGACAACAAATTTCAGTAGCAGTAGAAGTCACACGAAATCATTTGAAGAACTACTATGCTCTCCCTCTTCGGTGGTGGGTGGGCTTCGGCTTCAACAACAACAATTAATTTGCTTCTCAGCAGTTGACATTCTCCTCTCCATCACAGCATTTGCTGGGAATTCTCCCATTCTTGTTGCCCTTTATAAGGAATCTTCCCTACATCCGCTGTCCAAACACCTGTATTGTAGTTTGGCAACCACTGATCTGTTGGTTGGTCTTGTTGCCCAGCCTCTCTATGGTACATGTTGAATGTCCGTGGTTCAAGAACACCTTTGGAGGAGCCTTTGTCGATACCCAAGGGACGCAACCTACATCACAGGCTCTGTATTGTATTCAGTGTCTTTGATGACGATGACGGCCATAAGCGTGGACAGATTTCTCGCCCTGATGTTGGGGCTGAGATACAAACAAATTGTAACTTTGAAGCGCACGTATATTATTGTAACTACCTTTTGGGCTTTTATTATTGTCGCCTCTTTATGTGCAATATTTAATCGCCGTATAATCTTTTTGTACAGCTGCCTAGTTGTTTAGCCTGGTGTACAGCTGCCTAGTCATTTTGCCTGGTAATATCACTTGCATCGTACACAAAGGTTTTTCGCACTCTCAGATATCACCAAGCACAAGTACGAGATCAACAACACCCGAGCCAAACAAATGCTTTGAACATGGTGCGATTCAGAAAGGCAGTACACAGTGCACTGTGGGTGCAGTTGGCATTAGTTGTTTGTTATGCACCAATGTATACAGTGACAATTGTGATCGCTTATACTAAAAAATATTCATTACTCTAAGTGGTCACATGGAAAGTAGCAGTTATTTTACTTTACTTTAACTCGACGTTAAACCCGTTTCTTTACTGCTACAAGATAAGTGAAGTGAGACAAGTTGTGAAGCTGACAATCAGACAAGCACTTTGCTGTTCATGGACTTAGATCCCTCTTGAGCGGCAATCGTGGTGTAACTTTCAAAACTGATTTACAAAGTCACGGTTATTATTAGAGAATCAATTAAATCATTGCTGAAGGTGTTGTTGATATTTTTAACCTCCATTATATGAAAGACAGTTTATCGAAACTCCGTAACCACACTCTGCAGCAGCACTTATCCTTACACTTTAACGACAACACATAATTTGTTTTATTGTCTTGTCTTTCTAAGTAATATGTAAGTATGGGGTAAAACTTCAAGGAGTAATGACGGAGAACTGTTGGGCGTATTTGTCTCTTGACGGTAAAATAATATTAATTCTTTTTTTTTCTGTATAAATGCGCATACGCCCTGTAGATAAATACTACACGCTTAACGCCACAACATGAGTACACATTTAATCTATTAGCCAGATAAACGAATATTTACATGTAAAGATGTGTAGATGTGATTCGACTGAATATAAAGGCTGTAATAAAAATATCTTAATACAAATATAACAACAACAACAACAACAACGACAGGAACATGAAATAGGAACGAACTTATAATTTGTGGCGTAACCAGGTCCGGTAGTAAAAATCTTAAACAAAAGCAACACGGCGCTAGCAAAAACTAACAAAACGACTGACTTAGTTGAAATCAATTAGCAATAGGAATTATCTATCTAAAACAACGTTTATGCTGGCGAGAAATAAATCGCTGCCGGCGTTACGCAATTCTTACACAACCGCACACATATAGAAACAGAACATCAGAATAGTATTCCGAGTAAAAGAAAAACAATATAAACTAATTTCGCAGTTACTTGACAATAAATACAAATGCAAATTCTAGTTGCCACACGCCCTATTACCGCGCGAGTAGGTTACATAGCCTTTTATAAAATCGAATTTGTTTTGTTATTAGAAAGTGTCCATAATGCTTGTAAATTTGAGATGGTAATAATACTTGTGAACCATTCGAAAGTGTGTGTAAAGAAGAACATTGACGATAGAGATCTACCAGAAGCTCTCGTTTTTCCAAAATTGAACGTAACACTCCATCCCCTTCGTTTCAGTAATTGTATAAATAATAAACGCAGCGGACGCAGTCTACATAACAAGCTATGCATTATGTGGAGGGTCTTTGATGACGATGGCCATCAGCGTGGACAGACCTCCCGCCCTGTTATTGGGACTGAGATATTAACAAATTGTAACTTTGAAGCGCACGTATATCATTATAGCTACCATTTGGGTTTTCTTCAGTGTCGCTGCTTTATGTTATTTCATACAAACAGACATACTTTATTGGCTCGTCCCCACGGGGCTTTTCAGAGTCAATGTTACATTACAAAATTCAAATAAAAGTAATGCCTGATGTACCTCACGGGTTCTAGGGGAAAAAATATTTACTTTTCTTTGACATTAAAAAAATAATAACTTGATGCAATGTAAATAACAAAGGCTGGTAGAGAAGTTTTATTTGAAAATTATCAAAGGAGTCATTAAGGTCTCAGTGATCGTCACTCCGCGAATGTTGTTCAGACAAAATATTTCTTGCTACAATCACAGATAAACTGTAAGAAAAAGTAAACCAGTAACAGAATAATGTTGATATCAAATTTCACAAGAAGAGGAACACAGGCGAAAACATTTGAAGAACTGACATGCTCTCCCTCTTTGGTGGGTGGACTTCGACAAGAATCACTTTCTTTCGCAGCAGTCAACATTCTCCTCTCCATCACAGCATTTGTTGGAAATTCTCTCATCCTTATTGCCCTTCACAAAGAATCTTCCCTTCATCCGCCGTCCAAACTCTTGTATCGTTGTCTGGCAACTACTGATCTGTTGGTTGGTCTCGTAGGCCAGCCTCTAGCTGCTTCAAGCTGGATGTTTAGTGCTCACGAACACTGGATTCCTTGTCGATACGCAAGTACCGCGACCTTTATCACAAGCTACGTATTATGTGGAGTGTCTTTGTTGACAATGACGGCCATAAGCGTCGACAGACTTCTCGCCATATTGCTGCAGCTGAAATACAAACAAATTGTAACTTTGAAGCGGACGTATATCATTGTAGTTACCTTTTGGGTTCAATCCATCGTCGCTGCTTTATGTTACACGTTAGATTACCGTGTATTCTTCTGGTATGGCCTTATAGTTGTACCATTATGCTACGTTACCTCAATTGTGTCGTACACAAAAATATTTTGCGCTCTAAGTCATCATCGTGCTCAAATACGAGATTATGTTACACAGCCGAGCCAACCAAATGCAGTGAATACCACACAATGCAAAAAGGCAGTGTACAATGCACTGTGGGTTCAGTTGGCATTAGTTGTTTGTTATTTGCCGTATGCTTTAGTGGAAATTGTGATCAGCCGAACCAAAACAGATCCATCGCACCTAGTCATCATGAGGGATGCAGCAAGCATATTAGCTTTCTTTAACTCAACGTTAAATCCGTTTCTGTACTGCTGGAAAATAAGTGAAGTGAGACAAGCAGTAAAGCGAACGATCAGACAAGCATTTAGCCGTCCATAAAGTGAGATCCTCCCCAAATTATGCTCGTATTAATACATTCCAAGCATAATCATTCAGTCACGATTATTTCTTTAGAACTACACACAGATATGTGAATAGGTAAGGTAAAAGTGAGAAGCAAAATAAAATTGTTGTCCAAGGTTTGTACGAAGTCTGCTTTTTCGGACGAAGACAACTAAAGGAAAGGAAATGGAAAAACCAACCTTATCACTCTCTATCATAAATACAACAAGTCTTAATTGAAGAAAAGATATGCTTGCACCGCAGTGTTGAACTTTCAATTTTGAGTTTGCCAAGGCAAATGCACAGAGTTGATAGAAACGCTTAATCATTACCTTATCAGCGAAAGGTTTTCCGAGTTAAGATGAATCGTTTCTAGCTGATAGTAGAGATTTACTTGTCCTCGCCTCTTATCGCTAATTACTACCAACGAAGAAATTGTGAGATGTGATATTTTATAAAGGACACGCTGGCCTAAAGCGTGTTTTTTTTGTTTTTTTCTATTTTACCTGTCATTTTCTGTTTGGTCACACTTAATTCTAGTTCGATGGAAATCATGGCGAAAAAATACTGGGAAGTTTCTAGATTAGGGTTGAAATAAGAGTATTGATTTGACAAACTCATTTTGCCTATCTTAAAATTTCGATCACAGTATTTACGGGGTTTTGAATTTCTTACTAACAATTTACCCCGATTGAGGTTGTGCTTGGTCATATTGCAAAATAAAAATGTTGCAGATGTCTTTCAACGTTTTCCTTCAAATAAAATGCGAATGCAAACCTAAATTAAAATTTTTGTTTTTTATTTTTTATTGTATATTTCTATTTATTTACATATTTTTCTTTTACATCTATAGACTGCCACCGTTTCAACTTTCGCCTCAAACGATTTGCGTCTTGGATTGATCTTTTTAATTTCATTTTTCCAAGGGTGGAAATGCCTCAAGACCTATAAAGATCTCACAAACATAATAAACGTTTTATTGCATGACAGAGAGGAAAGGGATTTTGGCAGCGCTATAAAATAAGCATTTTACAGCGCAGATGTCTCTTTGCTTGCCACTTAGAGCGATATCATACCAAAGGCAAATAGTGCCGAAAAATTAAAAGACAAGCCTTTTTGTTTGTTCCGAATTTACACGAATGGTGTTTTCGAGAAATTAGTGTCAGTACTATTCAAAGACCTTTTAGGTAGAATAATTTCAAATTAATAAGAATTTAAGGTGATTCTTCAACTGTGTTAAAGAATCACCTCTTATTACGAAATTGATAGAGAGTAATAATTTAAGCCTGTTATCCTCTGGAGCTCCCTCAGTGGGGAAATTGCTTTATCTTTTAACTGAATAGGCAGTTTGTATTTGCATTTTGAATAGGTAAACCCTACTGTGAAATCAGCGAAAGTTTCTGTGTAAATGTTATCACAGATAGTGAGCCACTTAAAGTCATCGTGGCTAGGCTGGTGATGTCTTGAAAAAAATATCTCTTGTCACTTACAGTTACAAATACCGTCCATGAAAACGAAATGACCGTTTGCTGAATTGCAAATGATGAAGAATGTATGCTGGCAGTTATACTAATTGTCTCTCGAGCTCCCTTTAAAGAAACGCGACTCTCCTGGATAATATTTCCGCACTAAATCAACTTTTCAAAAGAAGGTCAATGTCAGTGTTTCATTTCCAATACTCAAATTTTTGCCTAAATCAATTTCATCTGAAAAGGGCAAATAAATTCTGATAAAATTCCTGTTTTTATCTGTGTAACAGGCAATTAGTTTGAAATATTTAATTTCTGGCCTAAAGGGTGATTCTACTCTTTTTAAAAACAGAAAAGAACATTTTAGACGGCCGACGTCGCACTAATTATTTTATCTGAATAAAATAAATACTAATAGGTTAGAATAATCAATGGAATTTAGCTCAGTATAACCAGAACACAAGGCTACAGAATTGCTTATCACTGAGAAATAGGATCCTTTCACGGCTGATGATAATTACAAGGAGCAGCTGCCACAAAATTCGAGATGAGATGATTTATTTTCCACAAAATATTGAGTTTGCGCTCGATTTTCAAAATAGTAAGCGTCATTAAGTATGTCAGGTCGTGTGAATCCTACGACAAAATTAAGGTTTAAGTGATAACTGCCGGGCGGAAGCTTTCTAAACGAAAGATCTCTTGTTGCAGTTATAGATAAATTACAGGACAAAGGAAGCGACTGTTTACCAAACTGAAGATTGGTGACGACAAAAACTGATCTAACAGGCAGTGGAATAGAGACGAAGATCTGAGGTTGGATTTCTCTTGGGGACTCAGAATCTTTTCTTTGTCCCTCGCTCTTTACAAGACGAAAAACATCTCTCTCTATTTCTTTACCGAGCTCAAAACTTACCATCTCTCTTATTCTGTTTACAAATTACAGATAACCTGTACGACAAAATTTGAAACGCTTGCGGAGTGATGACGGCAACAAATTCCTCGGGGGATGGACCGCAGATGAAAACATTAGAAGATCTTGTATGCTCCTCTTCTTTAGCGGGCGAATTGCAACAATATTCCTTGCTTTTGTCAGCAGTCAACATTTTTTTTTCCCTTACAGCATTTCTTGGGAATTCTCTGATCTTTGTTGTACTTCACAAGATATCTTCTCTCCATGCGCCGTCCAAACTCTTGTATCGTTATCTGGCAACAACTGATCTGTTGGTTGGTCTGGTAAGCCAGCCTCTCGTTGCTACTCTTTGGATGTCGGTTGTTCATGAACAGTGGAGACTTTGTCGATTCGCATGGGAAGCAACCTCCATTTCAGGGTATGGATTATGTTTAATGTCTTTGTTGACAATGGCAGCCATGAGCGTGGACAGACTTCTGGCCTTGTTGTTGGGGCTGAGATACAAACAAATTGTAACTTTGAAGCGCACATATGTCATTGTCGTTACTCTTTGGATTATAACCGTTGTCACTACTCTATACCGCACGTTACTTTCTCGTATAGCGCGTTGGTTTGGTCGCATTATCATCTCATCTTGCCGATTAATCTCGATTACATCATATGCTAAGATTTTCCGCGCTCTTCGCCGTCATCAGGCTCAAATACAAGATCATGTTCAACACCAACCGAGCCAACCAAATGCACCGAACATGGGGCAATACAGAAAGGCAGTGTACGGTGCACTGTGGGTGCAGTTAGCGTTACTTGCTTGTTACGTACCAGTTAGTGTAGTGGCAATTGTAATGGCTCACAGACAAGCAAATTTATCACATTTAGTTGTCGCCCTGGGAATAGCAAACACCGTAGTGAATTTGAACTCGACGTTAAACCCGTTCCTATACTGCTGGAAGATTTGTGAAGTGAGACAAGCAGTGAAGCAGACAATCAGACAAGCACTTTGCTGTCCATGGACTTAGATCCCTCTCGAGCGGCAATCGTGGTATAACTTTCAAAACTGATTTACAGTTGAGTCACGGTTATTATTAGAGAATCAATTAAATTATTGCTAAAGCTGTTGTTGTTATTTTTCAATTCCACATCATGAAAGACAGTAAATCGAAACTCTGTAACCACGCTTTGTAGTGACACTTATCCTTACACTTTTACGGCAACACATGTTGTCTTGTCTTTCTTAGTAATATGTAAGTATGGGGTAAAACTTATAGGAGTAGTGACAGAGCTGTTGGGTGTATTTGTCTCTTGACAGTAAAATAATATCGGTTCTTTGTTTTTCTGAATAAATCCGCATGTCATTAACGCCCTGTAGATAAATACTACCAGTTCAACGCCACAACATGAATACACATTTAATCTATTCCCCAGATATAGGAATATTTAGATGTAAAAAGTGTAGATGTGAATCGACTGAAAATAAATCATTGATAAAAATATCTAGGTACAAATATAACAACAACTAGAATAACAAAAAGAACATGAAATAGAAACAAACTGATAATTTGTAGTATAAGCAGGTCCGGTAGTAAAACTCTTAAACAAAAGCAACACGGCGCTGGCAAAAACTAACGAAAGGACTGACTTGGTTGAAATCAACTAGCAATTATAATTATCTAACGAAAACAACGCCTATGCTAGGGGAAAATAAATCGCTACCGGCGTTACGTAATTCATACACAACCTCACTCAAATAGAAACAGAACATTACAATAGTAGTTCAAGTGAAAGGAAAACAATATTAAATAATTTCGCACTTACTTGACAACAAATACAAATGCAAATTTTAGTTGCCACACGCCCTATTGCCGCGTGAGTCGGTTACAAGGCCTGTTATAAAATCGAATTTGTTTTGTTATTAGAAAGTGTCCATAATGTTTGTAAATTTGAGATGTTAATAATACTTGTGAACCATTCGAAAGTGTGTGTAAAGAAGAACATTAACGATAGAGATCTATCAGAAGCTCTCGTTTTTCCAGAATTGAACGCACTACGTTGAACACTACATCCTCTTCGCTTAGCTGTGAATGAATTTTTACCTGAGAAGACAAAGTTTCAAATACTCATTCAAATATGTTGTGAAATGATAATATTACCATAGATATCTATACGTTTGACTCTTGATGCTAATTTATTTCCAAATTGAACTTTACCGATTAGACACTTACATAGTGTTGGCGCTCAATAGATTCCCGAATGAAATGTCACAAAATATGTTTGGCTGGTCTTGTTCTCTGCCTCTCTATGCGGTACTCATTGGATGTCTTTTGTTCACGAACACTGCAGCCTTTGTCGATAAACACAGCGGACGCAGTCTACATAACAAGCTATGCATTATGTGGAGGGTCTTTGATGAAGATGGCCATCAGCGTGGACAGACCTCCCGCCCTGTTATTGGGGCTGAGATACAAACAAATTGTAACTTTGAAGCGCATTTATGTCATTGTAGCTACCTCTTGGGTTTTATTTAGTACCGCTGCTCTATGTTACTTCATACAAACATACATACTTTATTGGCTCGTCCCCACGGGGCTTTTCAGAGTCAATGTTTAATTACAAAATTAAAAAAAAAGTAATACCTGATAACCTCACAAGTTCAAGGAAAAAAAGATTTACTTTTCTTTGACATAAAAAATAATATCCTGATGCGATGTAAATAAAAAAGGCTGGTAGAGAAGTTTTATTTGGAAACTATCAAGAAGTCATTAAGGCCTCAGTGATCGTCGTCCGGCGAACTTTGTTCAGACAAAATATTTCTTACTGGAATTGAATAAGAAAAAGGAAACAAGTACGGAATAATGTCGATAACAAATTTCACAAGAGGTGGAACACAAACGAAAACACTTGATGAACTGCTATGTTCTTCCTCTTCGATGAGTAGACTTCAACAAGAATCACTTTCTTTCGCAGCAGTCAACATTCTCCTCTCCATCACAGCATTTGTTGGCAATTCTCTCATCCTTGTTGCCCTTCACAGGGAATCTTCCCTTCATCCGCCGTCCAAACTCTTGTATCGTTGTCTGGCAACTACTGATCTGTTGGTTGGTCTCGTTAGCCAGCCTCTCGCTGCTTCAGGCTGGATGTTTGCTGCTCACGAACACTGGATTCCTTGTCGATACGCAAGTACCGCGACTTTTATCACAAGCTACGTATCATGTGGAGTGTCTTTGTTGACAATACCGGCCATAAGCGTGGATAGACTTCTCGCCCTGTTGTTGCGGCTGAGATACAGACAAATTGTAACTTTGAAGCGCACATATATCATCGTAGTTACCTTTTGGGTTCTATCCAGTGTCGCTGCTTTATGTTACGCGTTTGATTACCGCATATCCATTTGGTATGGTACTATAGTTATACTATTATGTCACGTTATCTCAATTGTGTCGTACACAAAAATATTTTGTGCTCTAAGTCATCATCATACACGAATACAAGATCATGTCCAACAGCAGCCGAGCCAACCAAATGCAGTGAATACCACGCAATACAAAAAAGCAGTGTACAGTGCACTGTGGGTTCAGTTGGCATTAGTTGTTTGTTATTTGCCGTATGGTTTACTGGAAATTCTGATCAGACAAAGAAAAACTTTTCCATTGCACCTAGTCATCATGAGGGGTGTAGCATCTACAGTAGTTTACTTTAACTCAACGTTAAATCCGTTTCTGTACTGTTGGAAAATAAGTGAAGTGAGACAAGCAGTAAAGCAAACGATCAGACAAGGATTTGGCTGTCCATAAAGTGAGATCCTCCTCGAATTATGCTCGTGTTAATACATTCTAAGCATATCGTTATTCAGTCGCAAACACTACTTAAGAACTCTAGTCAGATATATGAATGGATAGGAAAAAAATAAAAAGCACTATAAAATTGTTGCCTCAAGGTTTGTACGAAGTCAGCTTTTTTTGCACGTGGAAAACTGAAGGAAAAGAAATGGAAAAACCAACCTAATCACACTCTATCATAAATACAACAAGTCATAATCGAAAGAAAGACATCTATGCATTATGCTATTATGTTTATTCTCCATGTTTTATTTTTCATGTTCTTTGCTGGTTCATCTTTGATTTTTCGTCAAGTTGTCTTGATTCTACGCCTACCATTGCCGAGCGATTTACCATCCCTAAATTTGCTTTGCTCTCTCTTTTGAGTCGTTTTGATTTAAAACAAGAGTTTAGAGTTGATCGCAATACAGGGCATGTATTTCCACATAATTGTCAGCCCTCAGTAGAAAATGAAAGCATGTTTAAATATATTCCTTTTTTCGTCATTTCAATAAATTAATAAAGGGGTGTTTCCTTGTTGTATTACCAAACAATAATATGACCAATGTCGTCTTTGTTTGCCAAAGAAAAAATTTTCATTAAAGTTAGATTAAATTTTATGTACAGGAATAAATAGCTGACTACGACCAATATGCTACTGTTAGCTCCAAAGCTGCAGTCTTTGTGCTGAAAAATTATCATAAAAAAGGATCAGAAATTAAATTTCCGGCGAAGAATCCTAATACAAGAAGCAAAGGGAAGATGCATCTTTGTCTGTGAAAGAAAAATGATGGATTGAAATGAAAGATTTAGAGGTGACATGTTGCGAAAATGAAATGAATAATTAAGTATTTGATAACATCCCAGATTAAAAACGAAGCCGATATTGTCTAGTCGAGTTGATTTGTCTTCATTTTTGAAAGTGTAAGTTTTTTTATTGGTTCCTGCCTCAGCGTGTGGTCGTTAAGATATGAAGTATGCGAGAGATTTAGGAAGCAGAAGACTTGCTCTACCCCTAGCCGAGAGTAACTATAGGTTCCCGAATAATAAAACAAAGAGAACAAATTGTAAATCGAGCGTTAATGGTTTTTTTTTTTTCACTATCCATCCCTTCATCTCCGATCTCGATTTATGAATGAGTTTGTTTACTTTATTACTCGAGTGCAACTTTAACTGTGATCAAAGGATAATCGTTGATCGCAAACAATAATCGCTGCGAGAAGAAGTCAAATCACCTGCTGTATACCTGAAAGCTTGCTTGCTACGAAAAGAAGTTGGATTTAGGGTTAACAGGCCGACTTTGGTTTGTTATTATCCAGGACAATTTCCATGAATTTGCAAGCGAAAGGAAGAGAGAAAGTTAAGAGCGAAAAATAAATTGCAGAAGATGATTTGTTAGCGGTATACCTTGTTTCGTCTCTAATTCCATTTGGAGACGAAACTGAGAAAAAATAGCTGTGACCTTTTTTTCATTATAATGTTAAACTGAATAATTTCAAAATGAAGGTGGTACGTTTCTAAAGCAACCTTTGTGCTGCGTCGGTGGGGGAACATAACAATTAAAAGCGCCGATTTAAAAGATGAATTTTTGTCATAGAATTTTGCAGACGTTGTTTGGAAAGCAGCTATCCGAACAGGTAATCCCCACGGTACCAACAAACGCTTTTCGTTCAACTAATTTATTCTTGTTTTTCTCGTTACCATATTCCCACCAATAGCGTAATCCATTTTCTGCATTTAAACACACGCACGACCCATAATTCCACCATTCGCTCTGACCAGGGCTAACGCTCAAACATCAGCGTAGAAACTCTTTACGGTGGCCAATGTACATTATTAACTCAGTTGATAAAATCAAAATATCCTATTTTGAAATAAGTTGACATCCACGACAAAATATTGAGTTTGAATAGATTTATGTATTGGGAGGTTGTGACGAATTTATTTATTATTGTTATTTTTTTCGGATCAAGCACACCACGGGGTTTTTTTTTTTTTACATCTGAATTGTGGTTCGATGGAAATCATGGAGAAAAAATTCTGGGAAGTTCTTTAAAAGTATCTTTAAAATTCGGTCACGGTATTTACGGTGTTTGAATATCTTTCTAATTTACCAGAGTGAGGTTTAGCTGGGTCATACTGCAAAATGATAATGTTGCAGATGTCTTTCAACGTTTTTCTCCAAATGCAAATCAAAACTTAAATTTAATTTTGTATATATGAATGCATATGTATTTCTATCTATAGACTGCCACCGTTTCAACTTTCTCCTCGAACGATTTACGTCTTGGCTTGATCTTGGCTTGAAGAAGCCTCAAGACGTACTAAAGATCTCACAAACAAAAATAGACGTTCTATTGCATGATAGAGAGGAAAGGGTTTTTTTTAGCAGCGCTATAAAATAAGCATTTTACAGATGTCTCTTTACTTGTAACTTACAGCAAAATCATACCTAAGGCAAATAATGCCGAAAAATTTTAAAGACAAGTCTTTTTGTTTGTTCCGAATTTACGCGACAAACGTGTACTTTGCCCACGCATTGTAAACGGTAAACGCCACTAAGGATTTCTTTTTGGGATAAGAATAGGAAAGAAAGTTTTAAGAGATAGTGAACTGAACCAGCCAAAAAATATGTTCCGGCTAAGATGAACGTTAAGTGCCTTTCGGTGTCACTGGAAAAGGCCTAAAGAAATGTCAGACTTCTAGGGGTCTTCGTCTTCAGTTATTAATTTCTTCTTGTGTTTTGTTGGCAAAAAGTGAAGAACTGCATACAATTGCCAGTTTTTAAAACAATCGTTTCCCCTTTTGGTTTGGTTCGTCTGATTGAGAAACGATACACCAGCTAAATCCACTGCGAACATTTTTTGACACCTCTACGACACGATTAACAGCTGTACAAGCATTGTTGGAATAGTAAATGCTACTGAGAGTTCGTTATGTCAATCTTTTTAGGTAAGTAAAGCTTAGCAGGTGCTGATAAGACAAACATGTCTTACTGCAATAAAGCTGGGAAAGTGGACCACTGTTCATTAGACTGCGTTGTAAAATGAAGACCACAAATATAACACGAGGTGGAGCGCAGCAAACCAATTGAAGAACTGGTCTGTTCCCCATATTCGTTCCATGGATTACAGCAGCAATCAATATATTTATCAGCAGTCAACATTTTCTTCTTCATCACAGCATTTCTTGGGAATTCTCCTATTCTTGCTGCTCTTCATAAGGAATCTTCCCTTCATCCGCCATCCAAACTCTTGTATCGTTGTCTGGCAACAACTGATCTATTGGTTGGTCTTGTTAGCCAGCCTCTCACCGCTACTTATTGGATATCCTTGGTTCACCAACAGTGGAATCTTTGTCGATAAGTATCTAAAGCAGTCGTAATAGCAAGCTATACATTATGCGTAGTTTCTTTATTGACAATGACGGCCATTAGCGTGGACAGACTTATCGCTCTGCTATTGCGGCTGAGATACAAAACATTTTGCACTGACTTACAGTAAGAGACGTTCTGCAAGGGATTGTGGATTTTTGTCATGATAGGAAACTCTCCATTATGTTTTCGAAGAACTTGTGGGTAAATTAAGCTTAATCAATTAGATAAACTCGTTTGAGTGGTTTTAAAATAAAAACCCCTGCCCATGTAAATAGTCAGAAACAATGTAGAAAGCATTTTTTTCCGCGAAAAGAAATATTTATAACACCAATGTGCATTAGAATAAACCTTTGAGATCTCTTGGGAGTCCTTCTCAGGTAAAGAGATGAATATATATTTGAGGTTGCTTTTTACGCGGAATGCCATCCAGGCTAACCTTCTGGCTGGCTTTGTTTTTCATTCTAAGTATTCACAAACTGCAAGATGGATCAATGGTATTTCACATAACACTGTTGGTGGCGTTATATTTTGTGTCTATCGAGTAATTTCCTCGCATTCAATCTTAGTCGGAAGCGAAGCGTCTTGAAAATATCAGGGTCTTTCACTGAAACTAAAACATTGTTATCAAATCACTTGGCACCTCTGCCTACACCTTTGATCTGAATAGTTTACAGTTTGTAATCAAATTGTTTTCAGACTGATAAGATCAGCGATTCACTTTAAACAAAGTAGTTTCCCAAGGCTGATGATAAACCTGGAGGTCTTGAGTCAAAAATCATATTTACACTTGAACTTTTATTATTTTAAAGCCAGGAATTCCATATTTGAGGCAGCTTTTTTTTTTCCATTGTGATATTATACTTAAATCAAAACCTCTATCATTTTACGTGTCAATGCCAATTCATTTATTAAATGAAACTTTACCCAAATACATGGCCTTACGCATAGCTAATTCAGTGATAAAACTCCTGTCTCGCCGAACTACCAGAAATAATTAGCAGTCGAAAATTTTCCCCGGGAAAGGGAATATTGTGTCGTAAATAATGTTAAATTAATTTCCGCGATATTCAAGGACCTTTCAGAATACAAAGGTGGAACCATCACGAATAAATAATAATTTTAGATGATTCTCGAACAGTTTCAAAGAATCATCTGTTTCTTCGAAATTGATAAAGAGTGATGATCTAAGCCTATTATCCTCCAGAGCTCCTGCTGGGAAAATTGCTATATTTTTTGACTGAATAGGCAGTTTGCATTTGCATTTTGAATAGCTAAGCCATACTGTGAAAGTTTATGTGAAAATGTTATCACAGATAGTGAGTTTAAAGTCGTCTTGGCAAGGCTGGTGCTGTCATAAAAAAATATCTCTCGTTACATATAGTTACGAAAATCATGCATGAAAAAACGAAATGCCTGTTTTCTGAGTTGCGAAATGACGAAGAATATTTCCTGGCATTTATACTGATTGTCTCTCGAGCTCTGTTTAAAGAAACATGACTCTCCTGGATAACATTTCTACACTGAATCAACTTTTCACAAAAAGGTAAATATCAATGTTTCTCTTTTAACACTCAAATGTTTGCTAGAATCAAATTTATCCGAGGAGAGCAAATAAATTCTGAT